TATTTCATGTGCCCCTGTATAAATGCAGATGTTGTTTTATTCAGGTTGATATTGTTAAAGTAGAAACAGTGTTAAAAATTGTAAAATTTTATTCATGATCAGTTGCCTATGGATGGCTTTCTTCACAGTCACTTTAAGTATTTTACCACTGTGGTAATTATTTCACATTTTAATGTAAGTAAATATTAATATTTAACAGGAAGACATGAATTGTGTCAAAAGTCAACATCAGCTGGTTCTACATAGTTGTGTTACTTTTCTACTGATGTGATGAGTATTGAATGTTCATAAAAATAAACATTTATATTGATATCATTATGGTAGTTGTAACAGTCAGTTAGGATTTAATGCTGTTGTTAGGTCAATGAAATACTGTAGACCCTCTTTAAAAGGGTAATGATTACCATTCACAAGGCAATGGAAAATGACATCAAAACTAGGATAAGCAGCATTAAAGTTATCAAAATGCAAGTTCTGGAGCTGTTGGTTCCCAGAAAGGAGATCAGTGCCAAACACTTTTGGGAGACTAAGGTGACCATCTTCCCTTTCATAAGCAAGTACAGCTTCTTCACTAGTGGAAAGCATGTCTATAGATGGAAGAATAAATGTCTTTTTATTTTCCTCCATTCTCTTGTGTGGAACTCCCTTCCCTGTAAGAATAAAGGCAAGCACAAAAAGAAACATGATTTAGTTAATACTGGTAATGCAGTACAATTTTTAAAACTTGAATTAGTCAGTAATATGACCTAAATTCTTCCTTTCCTGATGCTAAAGTGGAAATTTGTTCATGTACAATTTTGTGTACATGAGGGGTGTGGGGTGGGGGAGGGGAATACCTAGATTGGTAGTCTACCAAAACTGGGATGTATTGACTTTCCACTCCCTTGGTTTGAACACCAAACCATCACAACAAACACTTACCAGGGATAGGATGGTTGTTCCAACTGGAAATCACTTGTTTGATTCCAATATCTGCTGTCCTGGAGGTAAACCATGACACACAGAACTTGTTCATGTCATCATCCATATTTATGAGGTCTTCATTCACCATGGCATTTAGAGCTCGTTTTATAGGGTATTTGACACGTGTATTAAACTCTATCCATTTTCTCTCCGCAGGATGATTCTTGAAATGAAAAAAAAAAAAAAACATATGCGGTTAACAGAAGGCATCACTTACCGGTACACTGCTGCACAAACCACATGAAGTTTTGACAAAAAAAATGTTAATCAAGAAAGTAAAAATTGAGTCTGTCAAGTGACAGACAGTTACATATGTTGACTATGCATACACCTGCTTGGATGTTTGACTGAAAGGCACTCTTCTTGTATTGGTCCTATAAGGCGTCAATTTTTCTTGTACAAATAAGGAGAGATAGAACTCTGTCCCATGGTCCACTCTTAGTTGGTCCCAAATGCCATGCTGGATGACAGCAGTTCTTCAAAGAAAAAGAAGCAAACATAAAGCGTGATAGTTAATCTTGACTCAGGCATAAAAAGAAATCAGTTTTGAATGACTGGTTTGTTGATCTCTCTTCAGTGTGTCCATTTTTGCCTGGCTGTTTACNTAAAGCGTGATAGTTAATCTTGACTCAGGCATAAAAAGAAATCAGTTTTGAATGACTGGTTTGTTGATCTCTCTTCAGTGTGTCCATTTTTGCCTGGCTGTTTACAGTCACCAATATTTTAACCTTGCTATTAATATTTGTCAGAGGGTATGGGGGGGAGGGGGGGGCAAATCAGATATTTTATATAAATTGGACAGTAGTGATGCAAGGATTTTCTTGCAGCAAATAGAGAAGTTCTTGTTTTCTTACTAGAGACCTAAACTTTGAAAAAAAAAAGTTTTTTGTTTTAACTACTCCAGCTTAGACTACAACTTTTGAGCACTTCTGATTGAGAAGAGGTAGGTACATTTTGCAAGGTAAGTGACTGAGAATTTATGTAATACTTCTAGTCAACAAGTTACTGTCATGTAATATTCATGATGACAACTGCAAAAACAATTCTTACCCTTAGTAATAGAATTGCAATTTTAAACAATAATTATTATTGTTGAATACCTGTAAGTGTGCTCAT